AAGTCATTCCTGACAGGCAAGGTGAGTAGATATGAAAACAAAATAAAGTCCATGTCCTGTCCAACACCAGGAATCTGGAATCTTATACATCAACTTTGAGTAAGTGAAGTCCCTTACCAGAATGTACAGGCCTAAACAGTCTCAACTTTGAATTTTTATCCAACTCTTTGGATCCCCCAGTTCACAGGACAGATTCTTCATATACAACCTTAACTGGTCCTTTGGTGAAGTGTGCTAAAAGATAACTGAGGCCAAAATCACAAGCCAATTATGGAAATACTATGATTGTCATTTTGAAATTTTTTAAGAAGTTAACAACTACAATTTTTAAAAAAGTAACAACAAAATTTTTCTTGACCAAGGAAATGAGGTTTTGTTGTTTTGTTTTGTTTTGTTTTGTTTTTTTTGTGGGAGAGTGCTTCATTAATTTTTCCAAATAAAAACACATGGCAGGTTTGAAGGAAAGGTCACAAGCAGGGTATTAAAAAGTTTAACTATACAATGTTCTTCTACCGTGTCATCCTCCTAACGTAGAACACTCATAAAATCTCCTAAAAATAAACCTGTTATAGTTTCATTTTCTAAGAAAGCGATAAACATAACAAACAGCTACTTTTTTCAAGAGTCTCTGCTATATGGGGCACACAGATCAAAGTCTACAGGGGCCAATTTCGTCACTTCATAGGTCGATGACACAGCTTTGAAAAAGAGGAAAAACAGTCCCCCTAGTGTACTGCTGCTGTAGGAAGAGGAAGTATATTAGTTGAGAATCACTGACGAAGATAATACTGCCAAAGGAAATTACAAAACAGCATTTTGGCAACATGGGGCAAGCAGAAGGCAGAGTCTTCACATGCAACCTTAACATGTCCTTTGGTGAAGTGCTCTAAAAGATAACTGAGGCCCAAATCACAAGCCAATTATGGAAATATTGTGATTGTCATTTTGAAATTAAAAAAAAAATAACTACAATTAAAATAACATTTTCTTAATTCAATACATCGAAAAGAAACTTGGATGCATCACTCTAAAGAACTAGAGCAATGAAGACATAAATAAGTGTTATGTGGCAACTCAGTCCTCTTCTTTTTTACACTGGGAAGAAGCCAATAGTACACATTCTCACGTGAAAGCAGACTCAGTTTCTTGAAGAATTACCCTCTGCAGTAGCAGCAGAAGTCATCACACTGTATACTACATTTGTGAAACTGGGAGAGCCACTACAGAAACTCATGGCTGCCTACTGTTGTGCCATGACCCATGGGAAATGCAGATGAGTGGGTGTAGGCAGGAGATGCATAGGCCTTACCACATAAACCCTGGAGTCCTAGAGGTCTGACCAAGACAGGAAGGACCAAGAAAACTCACAGTTCAATTATGGGTGCAGTGCAAGTAACTTTAATCTGAAATGTAACCTTAATCTGAAATGTAAACTTAAAGGAAATGCAACCCTCCCCCCTCTTAACCACATCTGATTTTCATTTCTACTTTAATACCTGAGGTAAGGGAATCTGTATGACAGCCATCACCTTTCTTCCCTGGCAAAGTATGCAACTGACAAACATAACCAAGAGCTCCTTTTCATAAAAATGTTGGGTTTTTGCCACCTTTATCACTTCATAATTTCTGAATACCCATAGTACAGGCAATGAACAAATGTAATACCCATTCAGCCTCTGTCTGTCACTATTTGTCTATCTTTCTAACACTGAAATAATAACCAAGATATTTCTAGATTGAGAGGCAATATGCTTTTCAGGAAAGCAACTTCTACTTATGTAAGAGTACTCGTTACTTAGTAGGTGGTGTTTTTAAAAAAGATAAATTTAAACAGGAAAATCATATGATAAAGAACAAGGACATGCAGAACTGTGGCTACTAATTACCTCTGTACTAACCAGCTGTGTGATCTTAGAAAAGTCATTAACTTGAAAAATCAGGTTCTTCAACTATTAAATAAGGGGTTGAACTAGATTAGCAAAACTCTTCCTGGCTTTACTTTAGAATCACCGGAGAAACTTAAAAAAAAAAAAAAAACCAACAAAAAAACACTGAAAAACCCAATGCTAAGCCACACACCAGTCCAATAAAACCAGATTTTCTGGGTCCTGGTATTTTTTGAAAGCTCAAGGTGATTCTAAGATGCAACAAGGGCTGTAAACCACTGACTTAAATCTGATCTTCAAGACCTCTTTTCTAATTCTTTCATTCTATGATCTCAGGGTGATAATTCTGGTTACAGGATCTCATAATGCAATGGTTCAAATGCCACAAAAGAAGTAAGGTTGAGACCCTGCATACTGTGCTTCATGCACACGTGACTAGGTTAACCTGAATTCTAGGCATTTTTAGAAGTTAAAAACCCTAATGCATAACTCAAAATGAAAGTAGTGTGGTTTAAATGCTCATGCATGCTTCCAAAATGACTAATCATGATAGGAATCAACTCCTGAAACCTGGACCCATGGAAATGGGTCACAATTAACTCCTGACCTCTCCCTTTTCCCTCTTCTTCCACCCCCACTAAACCACAAGCCCCAAAAAAAAAAAAAGGTTGGCTATTAGTCATAATCAGAATATGAAACCAGTCCTAGTTTCAAAGGACCTTTTTCATCAAAGATTTGGAAGTTCTTGCATGGCTGCATCTTTTGATGAAGGTCATCTTACAAAAACTCTTTAACTAGATTATATTCCTATAGTCTTTAAGGATTAATTGCCACATGATACTCAAACAGAATTGATGTAAAAATTTTAAAGTAAAACACAAAAAGTGCGCCCTGTATTAAACATACTGAGCCTTGAGAATTTCAAGTTACAACACTTCAAAAGATTTTAGTTAGAGGGAAATGAGATAGCAGAGAAGGAAAAAAGAAATCATGAGGCAAAAAATGGTTATGACATATAACCACAAAGTTTATGACTAGGCTCAAAATCTATATTGCAAGTCCCACAAGCTACATGAAAACATAACCAGCCCAGCCTCAATTCATGATTACTTTTGGTAGGAGCACTTTCTCTAGTTAATCTTAAAAAAAGAAAAAGAAAAAAAAAAAAAACACAAAACAAAACACCTAAGTGTTATTATGCTGTTAATATCTTTAACTACAAATACAATAGCAAGAAATGTTATCTGTGGAATAAAGTTAGTTTTGTAATACTAAAAAAAAAAAAAAAAAATCACAGGAAAGGTGAAAACCCTTCCTACATTAACTTTTTGACTAAGTTAGGAGTTAACTTCTAACTAATAGATCCTCTGCACCACATTCAAAACATGCAGAACTAAATTTCAAATGTGAGAAATTTGAAAAATATTCCAAACCCGCAAATTCTTTTTGTTAGATCTTGTAGACTCAACCCTCCCTGACACTATACATTGATATTGCTATTCACTAGGAAACTCAGTTTTAAAGGTATCCCATTAGCACTGCTTTAAAAAGGAATTCTCATCCTTTCTGTCAACAGCCCTCAAATCACACAACTGCTATTCCTGTGCAAAACAATAAAATTAATTCAAAAATAAGATTTGTGTTGTCAGCATTTGTGAAAAGAAATGAGATAATTTATGGAATATCAAAGCACAGGTTTTGCTTTTGAAGTATCTAAGCAAGACCTCACCAATACTAGCCATTAAAAAAAATGCTTTTAAAAGCACTTTGTTTGCAAGGTTTCTTACAAAAAATTAAGTCAATATACTAAATTCTTCAGCTTTTTCACTTACAGGATCTTCTCCAGTGCTGCAACTTTCTACATAGGTTAAACTGTTCAAATTTATACATTTGCTGGAACCCAGGAAAATATAGGGCTCCCCAAAGACAATGAAAGGACAGAAGGAGGAAGCCACTAACTATTTAAAAAAAAAAAAAAAAAAAAAAAAACTAACTTGCAAATAAGAGCAACTGATAAAGTGATGTGTATCACCAACTGCACAGGACTCTTGCCTGGCACTAACACATTCATATCTTGGGCAAAGGAGCCAAGAGGAAGAGGTGCCCAAGAATAGCAAAGCTGCTAATATATCAGCATCCCAGCAGGGGCACAGGAGTTAATCTCTTTGGATGCCCAACAGCAGGAAGTCATTACATCATAGGCCTTTCCACACCTCTCTCCCTACCACGTGCCCAGTGCCCCAAGAGGCTGATATGCAAGAGTAGAGAGCCTCTTTTCAGGTTTACTTATAGGTAGAAGCCATTACCCACCAGCTCCACCACCAAAGGGCCCAGGTGAAGGAAGCTCTAGGCCCTGAGTTCTCCACTCCTGGACCCCTGCCTCAAACAGCTCCAGAGTCTAGGTGCAGCTGGTGGAGCAGGTGTACCTTTCTGCATTGAGGTGCCAAGCTGACCTGTTCTGAGCCCCAAAACAGGTTTACTGGATAGACGTCGCCGAGGAATAAAGGTGTCAATACAGGCAGAGAGCTCGCATGGAAAAGGTTTACAACTACAGCTTTTTCATATAGGATCGATGTGCCTGTGGAGTTAACACCCACAAGTCCTAAACTTGAACCAAAGGGTTCTCCTCCAGCTGCTGACAACGCACCATGTTCCAGCGACGGACTGGAAACCACAAATCCAGGCACCGAGGATCAAATACTTTCCCCCTAAGCCCTTGCATTCCACCTCAACGCCCCTTGTTGCACCCCTACTACGGGGAATATTACTCTAAAGTTGGCCGCGGACCTACCTCTTCCGTGCTGTCCCAGGACTCCAGTAAATGAATGCGCTCTGTCCGTCATTCTTTCCCTCCCTGACATCTCTCGCCCCTTCTCACCTGGTCATTACCCGGGCTTTCCCCGAAGCCTCCTCCAATGCAGCCCCCCGTGATGGTCTCCCGGTTCCCCTCCTCCGGGGGTCCCACAGAACCCCCAAAGCCTCACCGCAGAGGCTCTCCCTGCCAACCCCTCGCCCCAGCGCCCGCGGGCGGGCGCGCTCCGACGGCTCCAAGGCGCACTCGCGCTGCGCAGGAGGCCCGGCAGGTCCAGCCGCCTGCCCGAGGTGGGTACGCACCTTCCAGCCGGCAGAGCTGTTGCTGTCGCCCTTATCCTTGAAGTAGGGCACACAGCGGACCATCCACTCGTAGATCTGGGACAGAGTGAGCCGCTTGTCCGGGGAGCTCTCGATGGCGCGAGTGATCAAGTCGGCGTAGGACAGGTTCCCCCAGGCGTTCCGCCGCGACGAGCATTTCCTCGGCTGCCCGGAGCCCCCGGCCGCCCCCGGCTGCGGCGGTGGCAGTGGCTGCTGAGGCTGCAGCGGCGCCTGCGTCCCCCCGCTCAGCGCGCCCGCCGCGGAGGCCGGCCCGGACCCGGGGTCCTGCGCGCCCGGAGCCAGCAGCCGCGCCGAGTCCTCCAGGAGCAGCCCGGAGCCCAGCGCGCCGCTCCCGCCGCCGCCGATCGCCATGGCCGAGCCGGCCCTCCCGCCGCTGTCCTCGTCGTCTTCGTCGTCCTCCTCCTCCGGGATCATGGAGTCGGCGGCCGCCTCCCCCGAGGGTTTGGCCGGGCTCCCCTGGAGCTCCGGCCTCTGCAGGGGCCACGTACAGGAGCGCGGCCGACTCTGGGGCTCGAACTCTGGGTCCAGCTCCACTTCGAGCGGAGAGAGCGGGGCGGGGGACGCCGGCGCCTCTGCCATCTTCGCCGCCCGCCCGCCGCCCGCCCGCCCGCGGCTCGGGCTCGGGCTCGGGCTCCGGCTCTCGCGCGCCGCTCTCACGCCGGGGCGGGGTGCGGCGGGGGAGGGACGGGGGCGCCGCGAAGGCTCGAGTTCCCGGGCGCCGCCGCTGGCGCCGCCGCCGCCTGGGGAAGCACGAGAGAGGAGGGAAGGAGTTGGTTATCCCGGGCGGGAGCGCAGTCCTCGGCAGCCCTCGCCCGCGGCCGCCCTGCCCGCGCGCGCCGCGCCCGCCTCCCGGAGCAAGGAGACCTGGAGACGTGCGTCCCGCGAACCTGGCGCCGCAGACGCCGCCCCCTGGCCAGGCCGCGGGGGAGACGGGAGCGAATGGAAGGGCTCGCACGGGGCAGCCCCCTCCCCCCGCCGCCGCCGCCGGGGCCGCAGGTCCCTCCCGGGCTAGGTGCGGGGCGGGGAGGCAGGGGAGGGGCGGGGGAGGGGCGCGGGCCGCGCCTTTAAAGCGGGCGGCCGCCCGCGCCGGGGCAGCCCTGCGGCGTCCGAGCGGAGCCCGGGCGGGCGTGCGTTTGTTTATGTTTCGCTCGGGCCCGCTCAAGTGCTGCCCTCGGCGGCGGCGCCCCAGTCAGCGGCGTCCCCGGCTCTCCTCCCCTTCCCGGGCCCTGCCGCCTCCGCGCGCCCCGGCCGCCCCCTCCCACCCGGGGGGCCCGAGCCCGGGGCCGGCGCGGGCTGCGCGCCCCTCTCCCCGCCGCGCCCGCGGGCGCCGACGGGCCCTTGTTCACTTACAGAGAAGGCAAGACGGAGAAGGGGGGGCCGGCGGCTCGGCGGGGGCTCGCAAGGGGTCGAGCCGAGCGGGGACGGCCACTGTTGGGGGGGCTGTGTGGTTTATTTGCTCGTGGACGTGGTGCCCTCCACCCCCTTCCCCGCGAGGCGCGGAGGGAGGGGGCCAGTCAGAACATAAATCTTCCAACAGGTCGGGAAGCGCCAAGTCTCTCCGGCCGCCAGAAAACCCGGACGGGCGCGTTCATCACCTCCTTGCTCCCGCTGCTGCCATCTTGACAGTTTCCCCCTCTCACTCAAGTCCTTTAAAAACACTAGCGGGAGAGAAGGGGGCGCGAACACCGAGTCACGGGGTGGGGAAGGGAAGCGCCTGGCCCAGCTCGGAAGCAGATCCGGAGTCACCGGGAAGGGAAGGCGGCCGTCCCGCTGCACAGCTCGGGCGCCTACCTCGGTTCCTTCCCTTCAGGGGCGCGCGGGGAGGACGCCCAATCCCGCGCGGGCCCGGGGCGCGGTGAGGAGGGGGCGCTCCGGCCGCCGCAGCCCGCCCGAGGCACCGCCTGTCAGCCTGCGCGCCGCCGCCGTCCACATTCCTCCTCCGCCCCTCCACGAGCAGGACGGCCGCGGCCGCGGCACAAAGTTATAGACACACGCAGGGCGCCTCAACCTAGGCTGACGACTGGCGGGCGGGCGGTCCCCGCCCAGGGGGAGGGCTGGGCGGCGGGCCCGGCGGGGCTGGTGTGCGTGCGGGTGTGCGCGCGTGTGTGTGTGTGTGTGTTTATGTGCTCACGCGCGCGCCTGCGCGGCCGCCCGGCGGGGCTGCGGGCCGGGGCTCGGCGGGCTCCCGCCGCCGCCGCCGGCTCCTCCTCCCCGCCCGAGCCTCAATGACAACAAAGCGCCCGCTGGCCGGGGGCGGGGGCCGGGTCCCGGGCGCGCCGCGGAGGCGGTCGCGTGGCCTGGCAGGCTCCGGGCGGGCGCCCGGCACCCGGGGCCGCGGCCTGCGCGCGTCGGCCGGCCCGGCTCTGGGTCCGCGCCGGTGTCCGCTTTCCCGTTGGAGCCGGACACCAGCAACACCCGAGGGGGGCTGCTGCCTGCCCACGGCAAGGGTGCCTCGGCGTGGACGTGCCGGCGGGCCGCGGCGCTGGTGCGCACAGCGCGCGAGCGAGCCGAGGCCCGCAGGTGTGGCCGGGCACCTGGAGGCGGGCTCTCCGCCGCGACCATGCTCACTTTTCAAGGGTTTCAGGGCCAGCGAGGGAAGAAGTGCAACTCGGAGGAGGAGCAGGCGACTCCCCACTCCTTAAGGCCAGGGCTGAGTGTGCACCCTTGGGAAGGGGGAGTCATTTGCTTCTAATTTGCAGGTGACGGCAGGACGGCTCACGGTGCGTCCTGCACTGCTGACAGGGATGCGCCTGTGGTGTAGACTCTCCGCGCGGGTGCGTCCCGCACAGGGGCCACCTCGGTCACTGGTGCGCGAAGGCTGCACCCCATGGCACGCGCACACCCAGCGTCTACCCACTTTGCTTCATAAATTAGGTGGTTTTTTCCCCCTACGTCCTCCCGAGTCACTGAGGAGACCGTGCAGCGCCGCGCGAGCTCCGCAGCAACCCGATACACAAAAAGGTCCAAGCGAGCCCCGGCAGGCGTCCGCCCACCCGGCCCGCCGCGGCCTCCAGGCTTCGCGCGGGGCCTGTCACTCAAGTGACGCGCGGCCCCGCCCCTGCATCAAGCTAGTTGGACGCGTACAAACAGATGATGTCATTGTGCCCACACGCGCGTGACCCGGGCGCTCGGCGCCGCGCAGCCATTCGCTGCGCCGCTGACTCGTCAAGGCACGCCGCGCGCTGACTGGCCGCGGCCCGCAGTCTCCAGGCCCCAGACGCCCCTCTCCGCCCCCGCCCCCGCCCCCCGGCAAATAATAAACAATCGAGTAAAATTCTAAGGAAGGAAGGAGGGGAGGGAGACGAGGAGAAAAAGAGAGGGCGCAGAAGACGAGCCTCGCGCGGACGCCGAGAGGGTTAAAAGAGAGGGAGGGAAGGGGACAAACGGGCAGGGAACGGGGGGGCGGGAGCAGACCTGAGGCGACGGGTCCCGCCGCGACGAGGCGGCGTCCGGGGAGGAAAGTTGGCGAGCGCTCCGCGGGCGCGCCTGGCCGTTAGTGGGGCGCTAGGGCCCAGGAGCGCCAGGCGCGAGGCCGGGCGGGGGAGGGGCGCGGTGCGCGACCTGCTGAGGGGGCGGAGCCTGAGGCGCGCCGGAGCGGCGCGGGCGGAGCCGGCAGACACGTGCGGGAGCGGGGCGGGCGCGCGCCGCACAGGCTCGCCTGGGGCGCGCGGCCCCGCCGGCGCGCGCGCTTGTTTACCAGCGCACGTGGGTGTTATTTTTAAATGGAATGTGGTGCGGGCGGCGCGGCCGAGTGGCGGGCGCGTGGGGCCGCCCGCGCTGGCTGGGGGACGCGGCGGGTCCTGCGCCACGGGCTCTCGGCGGCCCACCGCGCGGGCAGCCGCCCCGACTGCGGGTGTGCAGCGGGCGGCCCAGGCCCCGAGCCTGCTGGCAGGCGTGGCGCTCGGTCCCCAGCCTCTCTGCAAACGGCGGGTTCCGGCCGCGGAACGCTGCCCGCTGGGCACCCGCGCTCGGCCCCCCCAGTCACAACAAAGCCGCGCGCTTCCCCCTGGATCCTGAGGCCGCCCCAGGAACGGCCCCGCGGGCCCCGGGTCCAGGGCAGGCTTCACACGCTCCCAGGATCACTGACACGCAAGCCCCTGGCCGCGAGGGGACATCACCCCGCGTGGTCTGGGCCCGCCCTCCCTGGCCCCAAGGCCCCAAGGCCCCAAACCACACGTGCCGGTGTCTCGGGTGTACACTTCTGCCCTCGCGCAAATGCGTTTCTGCTGCTTGGGGGTGTCTATGAAAGAGGAAGTCTGCAAAGGGGCGCTGAGTGCTGCCGGGCGTTGTGGGGACGCCCAGCGTTTGCATTTGGTTTGTTGGTTTGTAGTGTGGCTGTGCACGGCCAAGTGCGACCACAACGCTCAGCTTCGAGTACGCGAGGCGTGGGCGGGGGCGATGTCCCCCGGGGTCTGGCAGTCGGGTGAGCTTTGCGGAAACCCCGGGAGGCCAGGTCGCCCAGGGTCTTGTACCAGGCATGCTACGGCACGAAATCAAAGAACTTTCAGTCGCTTGTTTTTAAGTACTCATGACACACTGTAAAAGAAACCCATCCTTTTCCTTCTCTAAATCTAATCTTTTGTCATTAAAGTCAAACCTGAAGAAGCAGAAAGAATGTGTTTACAGCGTCTGGGCTCTCTGCCACTAGTTTCGCTATAAACATGGTGGGTGTCCATTTACAGGATGGATATCCCACGGGCACTCCAAAAACTGGAAGTTGAAAATTCAGTAGATTGAGCTCTTTGAGACCCTTCTGATGAAAAATGGAGGAAGGGGACATGACAGCATGACACACGTTTCCTTCAAAAAGCCTAACAGTATTAGTTGGGGGTGGGGGGGACGGGGGCAGAGTAAGACATTAAAAAGTTCAGTATCTTCGGTTTTAAAACAATGCAAAACAAATGCAAGAGGTTATATAAACAGTGTTGGTTAAGTTTCAAATGAGTCTAAGATCAAAACTACAAATGGCAGTGAGTATAAACATCCAGCATGCATCTTACCCCAAGAATGTACCCTTGTAATTTATCTCTGTGGGCAAAGCTTTGAAAACAGAGTTTGAATCTCAGTGACTGTTCTTTTAGTCAGAAATGGCTTTGACCTTTTGCTTTCCCCTGGTAGCCTCCTTGGTCCTTCTCCATTTTTCTCCCACATGTTTTTTCCTCAACTGTTTAGTATAGGAAAGCTGAAATTTGGTTGTAGATGCAGAAGAAATGCCAGCATTACCTCTAAGGTAGAAGTTTTGCTCAAAATTCTTTCTACTCATTATATCCTGTTTACGTCTACAAATAACTTAAGGGGTGATTTTCTACTCCATTTTGGAAATTCAGTCACTGACAGAACAAAAATTAAATTTCTTTTGCCTGAATGAGTAAATCAACCATTTCAGACATCTAATTGCAAGGGCATCGGTGGCAGATGCCAAGACTCTCTTTCTGAGGGAGTCACTGCTTAGCACCTGTGTCCTTACCCAGTCTTCCTTGGACCCAGGTCAGGTGTGTACTTTCTCCCAACTCAGAGTTAGAACACTAGGAACTGAGCCCTCTGCCAGTCAGCGAAGGGCTCAGTTCCCTCTCGGACTTGGCTTCCATGTCCACCTCAACAATGAAGAGAGGAAACATAAAAGAGTATAAGCATCCAACTGACAAGAAAAAAGGATTCCCAATATTCATATACATAGCTGCTCACTGTACTTTTTCTGACACCTTTGCTTCCCGACTCCTCAGAAAACTACTCAAGTGGAAAACATTTAGTGAACACTCTGTACCAAAGAGCGTGAGCTTTGGCTTGCCCTTTGGGGCATCAATCCAGGCAGGTTTCATCACCACCCTCTCCAAGAGTCTCTCAAGCTCTGTCTTTCCTTTTCCCCTTTGACTCTTTCAGGCAGGATATACCCCTGCAGAGCTCTCCCAGGTCATGACAGTGACTGCCCCATGATACATTTGGAGGGTAAATATGTATGTTTATGGGGGGGAAGAGAACCAGAAAAACGGTGAAGATTTGTCTGAAATGGAATTGTGCAGACAACAGAAAGTGGAAAGGATGCTGTTTCAGTATTTTGAGATAATGATGATAACCTTTACTTGTCACTTAATATGATCGAGGCCCTGAATTACTGTATTTGCAGTGTGTAAGAAATAGGTACAGTAAAGTCTGATTCCCCTCATTTACCAGCTGTGTGACCTTGGGCTGTTAATTAACCGTTGAGCCTCAGTTCCTCATTCATAAAATAACAATAATACCTTCTAGGATTGTTGAAAGGATCAGGTTAAATGAGATGAACCTAAAGCATTTAGGTTTTGTATATTAGGAGGGAGGCCTTTTCAAAATAAATGTTGCCCAGGCTCCATCTTGGACCAGCTGAATTAGTATCTTTTAGGGTAGGGTCCAACATTGATTTTTAAAAAATGTTTTCCAGAGAATCTATGGCAGTCAAGATTGAAAATACTGATCTAGAAGTCTCTCCTATTCACATGCCAGGGTTTGCCCTTAGCTGTATCTAGTCAGTTTCTGCTAGAGAGTGATGGCAAAGCCATTTGCTACACACAAGGGTACAGGTAGGTCCCACACCCATAACATCTCAGTTTATCCCTAGAACCACCTACCTCAACAGAGACCATCCCTCACATTTTTACAGCTTTTCCCCGTAGGTCACACAGTGAATGGCAGGCCAAGGATAGTGCAGCCACTATGGAAAACAATATGAGGGTCCTCAAAAAATTGAAACTAGAACTACCATATGATTCAGCAATCTCACTTTCTGAATCCATGACATATACTTCTCCCTGAATCCTGTAATGCCGCCCCAGCAGTATTTCCTTATGTGGGCCTTTTGG